TCCGAGAGGCGCTTTCGGGTCGGCCACTGGACTAGGGGAAGGAAAACCCTGACTCCAAACCCGGGCAGGACGGGCTCGTGACCTTTGGCCGGGGACCGTCCTAGGAGAAGGAAAACTCCGAAATCAAACCTCCCAAATTGGTACAACATGGAAGCACAAAAAGTAAAGGATGTATCACTACCGGACCAGGGCGTTCGGACGTCCAGGTCCCGGCGGCTCGGGGGTTCCGACTCTGCCCCCGTACCGTCGTCATCAAACGAGGGGTTGGCCGTGTTGTGCGATGCAGGCGACACGGTTACCTATGCTACTGCAGAGGAGGGCGGTAACCAGCAGGCGGAAACGCCTGCTGACTCACCTGTGGCGTCGGCGGCAACGCCTGCTGATTCACCGGTGGCGTCGGCGGCAACAACGTTGATTCCTCCGTTGTCGGAGGAGACGATGACCGCGATCTCCCTGTCGTCGGATGATGGCGGCGATGACACGCTGGGCGCTGATGGTCTGCCCATCGGACTTGATGACGACAACGACTACTACATGCCCCTGAGTTATGAGGGCGATGTAGGTAGTCTGGCCTGTGCAGCTACGGGCACGACGGCCTTCAAACGGCCGCGGGAGTGTATCGATCGAGGCTCCTCCACTTCGACGGAGGGCACTAAGGCCCAGACAAAGAAGCCCCGACCAAAAACAAAGGAGGCACGAGCGGACGCTGCTAAGAGGTTGGGCATTGTCACGTCCGCCGGAATGGAGGACCCCGAATTCGATGATGTGCGGGACTTCTCGGAGTACACCGGGCCGCAAATTACGGCCTATATCAGGACGGCGATGGACTCCCTGAAGGTCCACACATTAAGATGCGGGCATNTAAAGGGCAGCTATATTAAGCTGTTTAAAAATATAGCTGCCTCCGTTACGATGGCGATCGAAGCCTACCGCGGCCGCGCAGATGAGGTGGGAGACCCTGAGGGGCTGCAAGCGCGCGTCGTGGAAGTGACGAACGACAACCTCACTCTTATGAGGGAGAAGATTGCGTTGGAGGGGGAGCTGCGACGTGCTAAGGACGCTCATCGCGCCATCGGCTCTCCCCCTCCCCTTCCACAGCGCATAAGGACGAAGGAGAGCGCTGTCCAAACGGCTCCGGTTCCTACCGTTACGTCGGTGACGGTGATCCCACCGCGGCTTGCGGGAAACGCGGTACAGCGGCCACCGGTGCCTGCTGCAGTAGATAGCCGGGATGCCGGGGGGGTGCGACGGGGGTCGGTAGACTCGGAAACAACGCGTCGCATCGCTGCGTTGGAGCGTGAGGTGTCTGCCATCGGCGACATGATGCGCCAAGTAGTAGGGATGCTGGATCCCGCACGGGCGAGTTTCACGAGCCCTCGGGGGGCTCGCCGTGCGGGACCCAATGAGCCGGATCCGGTATGCAGTGGTGGTGGTCCGGTATGGAGTGGCGAAACAACAGGGCCTGATTGGGCCACTGTAGTTAAGAAGGGCGGAGCCCGTGCGCGGAAGCTGGGCGCCGAGAAGGCAAGCGACGGCTCACGCCGAAACCCTGCCGTTAGGGGAGAGATGAGAGAGAGAGAGAGAGAGTGAGAACCGAAGGAGGAACAACGGTGACGAGGACGATGAAGAGGCGGCCTGACGAATGGCCACAGCCCCCGCGTCTTCTCCCCCAAAGACAGGTGCAGATGCAGCAGCATCAGCCCCGATCGGGGGGTGAGTTGTCCTCCCCCTCGAGGAAGAGAAGGAAGAGACGGCGAAGAGCGGCGGCTGTTGCGATTCGTCGCGCGCAAGGCAGCCCCGACACCGTGTCCTATANGGACATTATGCGGGCTGCGAAGGAGAGTGTCTCACTCCGGGAACTCGGGATCTNGGACACCNGCGTTNGCCGGGATGTCGGAGGCGGCATCCTGGTGGAGATTCCGGGACCCGAGGGGGCCGCAAAGGCTGAGCTCCTCGCCAAGGCCCTATCACCGGTGCTGGAAGGCAGGGCGGTGGTGTCCCGCCCTGTACAGCAGGCGGAGTTGCGCCTGACGGGGCTGGACGCATGTGCGGAAGGGTCGGAGGTAGTGGAGGCACTCACCTCCGGGGAGTTCGGCCCGTGCGCCGCGGGTGACGTGCGGGTGGGCCCGCTGCACGAAGGACGCGACGGCACCAGGACGGCGTGGGTGAGGTGCCCCTTCGCGGTTGCAGAAAGGGCTGCGACGACCGGGAGGATCCGGGTCGGGTGGGCTGGTGCTCGCGTCACACTGCTCCCGGGCAGGCGACTCCAGTGCTTTAGATGCATGGAGTTCGGCCATGTCCGGGCGGCGTGTCGAAACGAGGAGGACCGTAGCGGTACATGTTACCGCTGCGGAAAGGATGGGCACATAGCGCGCGACTGCAGAGACGCTGCCCACTGCGTGCTATGTGCATCCCGGGGCCTCCGGTCTGGTCATAGGGCAGGAGGTGAGTCCTGTGCGTCGAAGAGGCGCGGTAGAAACGGCCCCGTAGTCGGGAACCGGACTGGCCCGAGAGTAAATGCTGTGCGGAGGGCAGCAGGCGACACCCAGACGGGTGGTCGCATGGAGGTTGACGGAGATCATGGCCCTAGTTCTCCAGATCAACCTCAATAGGAGCGGGGCGGCGCAGAACCTGGCTGTCCAGGTGATGCGTGAAAGGGAGGTGTCGGTAATGGCGGTGTCGGAGCCCTCGTATGTCCCTGACTCACCTTGTTGGGCTGGGGACTTGGACGG